CAACCCTTTCATGGCATTGTCCCACTAGACCATATGAACATTTTTTCAGAAATCAAACTGTACAAACGACCCATTCAATTACAGAGTGAATTAAAACAAATAATTTGTATGATTGATTTTCCTGAACCCCAACCCCGCTCCGTTTCCGATCATTTTCAACCCTTCGCTGTGGTCACGACGACCTTTTTATCTTTATATAAAATCCGATTTTGAGTGGTGGGCTTTCATTATCTCCGCGGATATCATTTCATTTTCTTCGGATTTTGTGGAGGTTTTGATACTGAAAAATGGGTAGTGCGTCCTCAATGTTGACTCAGTATGATATTGAAGAAGTTCAAGAACATTGTGATCATCTATGTGAGTCTCTTTGCTGTGTGCATATGTATTTTTTTCTTTTTTTTGTTACTTTTACCAATTGATTTTGGATAAGGGTTTCGCTGAGTATTTTTGTACCAATTATTACAGGTGATATTTGTAATCTTGAATCATTTATCGAGTTTCTTTTCCTAGTTTTACATTTATTTTTCCAGTGGTAATTCATTCATTCTTGAATTTTTTGAAGTACGAAGTGGGCTAATTTCGCTTTGGTTATCTCAATGATTTGTAGTTACTCAGCAAGAAATACTGTCCCTGTACAAGAGATTTTGCCAACTAGATAGAAATGCAAAGGGATTCATATCGGCCGACGAATTCTTGTCTGTACCTGAGTTTGCAATGAACCCACTTTCTCAGGTCGATTTTTTTTGGGGTATAACTTGAGTAATTGAGCTTCTGTGTTTCATGATGCAACTTTTTGTGTGTGGTTAGGCATATCTGATTATTCCTCTATTTGGGGTCTTTACAGAGGTTGCTTAAGATGGTGGATGGATTGAATTTCAAAGATTTTGTTGCATTTTTGTCTGCTTTCAGCTCAAAAGCAACCGTACCCAAGAAAATCGAGAGTAAGTCCTGAATTAGTTTACAACGTGTTTGCAGTTTGCAGAAAAATTCAATTAGATTTGGTGAAGAATGGAGCTTGATGGAAAAGGACTGGGTGATATTAGTTAAATGTTGATGTTTAGGTTGAATTTTTCGAATTCTCGGCTAATTAAGATTTGATGGCAGTGTTGATAGATTCAGCATTAATTTGCTAATGCATCTGATAAGTTTCACTTGATATGTCTTATTACATGGGGTCTTGAGTTAATTGTAAAGTTAAAATTTTTACATCCAACTTTAATAGTTCATTTCGAAAAGAGACTAAATGATGTCAACATTTTTTAGCAGCAACCAAGTTTGTAATATGCTTGGTGACTTTTTCTTTTGTTGATTGTTCTGTCCTATAAATTTCCGCATTTTATGTTGATTAAACTGCAGTAATGTGACAATTTGAGATGCCTGAGTGTGATTTTATTTTTGTTTTTTACATCTGTTGACTCTGTATCATCCTTGTCCAGTTATATTCAGAGTATACGACTCTGATTGTGATGGGAAGGTGGAATTCAGTGACCTTGTAGAAGTTCTTCATGATTTAACTGGCTCATTTATGTCCGAAAAGCAACGAGAGGTATCGAATATGTGAACATGTTTGATTTCTTTTCTTCATTTTCGTCTTTAGCACTTTTCCATTTGTGTAAGGCAAACAAATCTCCAGGAGGATATGTAATTTTAAAAGATAAATGGGATGTTCTTTCTGGTATATGAGACGAAGTCAGCTTTGCCTCACAAAATGCTCTCGAGTCACAATGCTCGTTTTTCTTGTGTACCAAACATTAATTTGGTGATAAATCCCCCGATTTTTTTAAGCTGCACATATGCTTGATTTGTGATATTATTCCCTCATTTTTACTGCAGCAAGTTTTAACCCAGCTGCTGCATGAAGCTGGTTACACGAAAGAATCTTCTCTTCTGTTGGACGACTTCATTAAGGTCTGGTTTTTTTGTTTCTTTTTGGCCGATTTACCTTTTTAGGGTCCGTAACTTGTAATCTACCAAGTAAAATACTAAATATTGACAAGATGAAATCATGATAAATTCACTCTACTTTTAACGATCACAGTGTAACCCATCAGAACCGGCAATATTTTCCTGAAGATAAAATCAAAGTGTAGGTGCCGTGAATTTGGTTTGATTTAACTTATACGATGCACGAAAAAATGACCAATTTATTCGGGGCTTTTGTGTGCATTCTTATTTCTATTATTGACTGACAAAAATCGTGCTTTTTGACACACAGATATTGGAACGGCCAGGTCTGAAAATGGATGTGGAAATCCCAGATGATTAACCAAACGCAAAACCACCACTATATATGTGCACAAATTATAGCATTTATACTTGTTATTTTACCATTGTGTTGAAAATTATGAAAAGAAAAAATGGAAATCTCAATATTGTTGATTGTTCTTTAACCAATAAGTAACATTTTATCGTTTTTTTTTTCATCGAATAGTCCTCCGAATTTCGATCTTTACAAGTTACAAAATAGAATGGAATATCCTAAAATGGCAGAACTAATAATAATATAACCCTGAATTTAGTACTTTCAGACAAAGATGCCATGTGAAGCATGAAGCTAAAGTTTGGCTCAGTTTCTGAAAAAATGAACTTACAGGCATAAGCTCCAGGCCTGTAGAAGAAGACAACCTTTAACCGCCTAAATCATTCTATATTTAGAGCCGAAATTTTATCAAATTGACTATACAGACAAAGCTCTCTCTCTCTCTCTGACAAAAAAACCTCAGTGAAACATTTATCGAGGTTGTCTACTTGTCTTCGTAATTTTGAAGGATAACCAAAGTATTTTGGTAATTAGGCAAAACATCAGGGTGGCATTTGCAAATTAGCCTTGTTTTTCTTTTCACACTTTGATGCTAGGGCAACCAACAATATTTGCAACTTAATTACCTTTCATGTTAACTCATGAGGAGCTCTGTTCCTTCACAGCGTGAATAAAACAACTTCAAGGGCCTGTCCTA